GATGTTTACAGATCTCTTATGCATTTGTAAATTTGTAAACAGTGTAGTTATCTAGTTTATTACTTAACTCTGTTCTCACAATCATCATATGAAAAAAAAAAAAAAAAAAAAAAAAAAGCACCAAGCAGAGCTGAGAGAGCCCTGCTGTCCTTAACACGGAATGCCTGTGCCAATGAGCACTCACTTTGGCACCGGTAAAATCTCATCACTCAGTGGAGGTCCTCAGGCAGAAGGGTGAGCTGGCCTGGGGACACATGGACCTCACAGGAGACTCTGATATATTCTCAGTACAGATTTAATTTAGATAACACTTTTTTATGTTAAAAAAAAAAGCACATGACATTTAAATGCCCCAGCAAAACTAAAGTGATGAAGTGGAGTCAGCTTTCTGATGATGGTGAGCTGGCTCTGCCCGCTACACTCCCCGGTTCTAGTACCAAATTCTTTGCCGTGTGTTTCATGCAAGGCATGTTTGCTTCCATTAGTATAGTTTATTCATGTTTAATATTTTCTAGTGAATTATCATGGGGTTGTTTTGTTTTTCTGCTTTAGATGAAAGAAACATCTGTTATGCATGTCATAAATAGAGAGACATTAAACTTTTCCAAACTCCTGAATACAGTTGTATTAGTTGACTTTCATACTGCTATAGAGAAATACCGGAGACTGGATAATTTATAAAGAAATAAAGCTTTAATGGACTCACAGTTGCACGTGGCTAGGGAGGCCTCACAGTCACGGCAGAAGGTGAAGGAGGAGCAGAGGCATGCCTTCCATGGCAGCAGGCAAGAGAGTGTGTGCAGAGGAACTGCCCTTTATAAAACCATCAGATCTGGTGAGACTTACTCGCCATCACAAGAGCAGCACCAGAAAGACCCACCCCCGTGATTCAATTACCTCCACTGAGTCCCTCCCACGATTATGGGAGCTACAATTCAAGATGAGATCTGGGTGGGGACACAGCCAAACCATAGCAAACATTAATGCTGATTGCATTATAATATCACACTTCATGCATCACTGTGTTAGAGGGCAAATGACAAATACAGAAAATGTGGCTAATAAACAGTTGGGCTCGGGGGCCTCATAGTATTCTGGTATGTGGGTGTAAGGGGCACGTATGTAGGGTGAGTTGTCCCTGTGTGCGTATGCTGGGTGGCTGTCCTCACCGTGCAGAGCGAGGATTTGTCACAAGTTTTTTAGTTGAGGCTTTGCATGTGCCCTTTGGAGAGTCACACAGTTCAGACTTCCCCGAGAATTTTCACATTTCAGTGGAGAAGAGAAAAACTGTGGGTATTGCGGCGTGCATGGTCTACGTTTATGATTTTTGTGTAGCCACAGATAACTCCCCCAGGTCTTGGGCTGGGCTTCCGATCCAGGCCCTTCTGCACCGCTCAGCATTGTTCTGGCTTTGATCTAGGTGACGCCCAAGTTCAGGTGTGACGTCCAAGTTTAGTGTTGGCCGAAAACGGGCAGGTGGGAGGATACAGCAGAGCGGAAGTTTGCTATGGGACAGAATGAACCGGCTCACCCTCATCAAGAGGGGAAAGAGGCACCTGGGTGTAGTTAAGAAACTGATGACTGCCCCCGGGTTTTCAGATGGGGAAGGGCTGGGAAGAGGCACCACCCTTCATTCCAGCAAACAACAGAAAAGGTGAACCAGCTTCTCATCAAAACGATGGGCACTTTGACGGTTCTAAAGAAGACCTTGACGATGAAATGTCCTCAAGCACGGAGAACACCAGCCTGCCTGATGTATCTGCAGGATGTCAAGGCAATTGGTTCAAACACGTAACAAAAATCCCAAATTGGTTTTGGCATAAAGCTGTTTGAATGAATGTGTCTAGTTTAATATATTCTCTCTCTCTCTCCCTCTCTCCCCTTTCTCTCACTTTTGCTCCTTAAGCCACTGAAAGCTGTGAGCCCTGCCCTGACCCCTGTCTTCAATATTTAGATCACTGGCTGGCACGTAGTGGCTGCTTAAGGGATGTGGTTTTTTTTTTTTTTTTTTTCTGATATTCCTGAAACAGTTAGGGGCAAATCTTGTCTCTTGCTGTGTAAATCTGGTGGACTTCCCAAGGCTGGGTATAGTCTTATAGAGATACAGGATTTCTTTCCTTCCTTCCTTCCTTCCTTCCTTCCTTCTTTCCTTCCTTCCTTCCTTCCTTCCTTCTTTCCTTCCTTCCTTCCTTCCTTCCTTCCTTCCTTCCTTCTTTCCTTCCTCCCTCCCTCCCTGCCTCCCTCCCTCTTTCTTCCTTCCTTCCTTCTTTCTCCTTCCTTCCTTTCTTCTTTCTTTCTTTCTTTCTTTCTTTCTTTCTTTCTTTCTTTCTTTCTTTCTTTTTCTTTCTTTCTTCTTTCTTTCCTTCTTTCTCTTTCTTTCTTTCTCTTTCTTTCTTTCTTTTTCTTTCTTCCTTTCTTCCTTCCTTTCTTTTTCTTTCTTTTTTTTCTTTTTTCTTCTTATTTCCTTCCTGTTGTCTCTTTCTTTTCTTCTGATCTCCCTTCTTTCTATGTTTGAGGCAGGAACTTGCTCTGTCATCCAGGCCGGAGTGCAGTGGCATGACCATAGTTCGCTCCCTCTGGGAGAGGGAGGGTAAGGGATGCAGCGGAAGAGATCCAGGTTCTGGACTCATGCCCACCATTGCTCGCCAGGTTGCCAAATTGGTCTCTCTCCCTGGGTCTTTGCTTTCTCCTCTGCATGACAAGGGTCCCTGACCAGGGGATTCCTCAGTGCTCTGTGAGGGTTGGACGGTGCTAGTGAGAGGTGCAGCTGTCAGTCATCTTCGCATTTGAGGCCCGTCCTGCTACCTGCCTGCATGCAGGTTTTGATCAGATGAAAGTGGCAAGAACAGTAGAGGCCTGTATGTCCTTAGGGGAGCTGCCATGGCGAGGATGTGGAGAAAAGGAAACCCTCGTGCTCCCTTGTGCACTCTTGGTGGGAACGTAAATTAGTATCACCACTGTGGAGAACAACATGGAGGATTGCTTGAGCCCAGGAGATCAAGACCTGCCAGGGCGACGCAGCCAGAACCCAGCTCCAAAACAAAACAAAGCAAAACAACTAAAGTGAAAACAGAGATAGAGGATCCAGCAATCCCACTGCTGGGTACGTACTCAAAGAAAAGAAGCCAGCCTATCAAAGACAGAGCTGCACACCCACGTTTGCTGTAACACTAGTCACGATAGCGAAGATCAGGGAGCCACCTCAGGGTCCATTGCTGGATGAATGGCTAAAGAAAATGTGGTTTAGATGCAGAAGGGAGTGTTATCCAGACATAAAAAGGATGAAATCTTGCTATCAGGAGAACCCTGGTCGGACCTGGAGGACATCATTTTATGCGCAATGAGCCAGGCACAGAAAGACAAGTGTCACAGACTCTCACTCCTACGTGGGAGCTGAAGAACTGGGTCTCTTGGAGGAGGAGGAGAGGAGAATGGGCGTCACCAGAGAAGGGGAAGGTGAGAGGGCCTGAAGGGAAAAAGAAAGAATACAAATGCACCTATTACCACCAAGCTGTACACGGAACAGTGATAAAGATGGTGGATTACGTATGTCTGTTTCACCTCAATGAAAATAAATTTTTAAAAAAGAACAGCTGATATGGAAGAGAGACAGAGCCTGTGCAAACTGGGGGCAGATGGTCCAAGGCCGAGTCCTCAGCTTCATACTCTCCTGAGTGATGGCTGAGCTGAGTGGACAGAGCTGGGGGCCATGGGGACATCTGATGGGACCCTGCCCTGTGATGAGGAAGGTGGCAGAAGAGGCATCGCCTGTCCGAGAACTGGGCTGGCCCTGCTCGTGTGACAGTGGCTGTTGTGGAACGAGCCAATGCAGGCGTCCCTCTTTCTCTTCTCTGCTGTCACACTGGGCGCTGAAGATCTCTCCTGGTTTTGTAACTTAGGTTGTGAAGCCTTAAAGATTTTCTCCGGTCCATGGCCGGGTGTGGTGGCTCACACCTGTAATTTCATCACTTTGGGAGGCCAGGAGGTTGGATCACTTGAGGTCAGGGGTTCGAGACCAGCCTGGCCAACATGCTGAAACCCCGTCTTTACTAAAAATACAAAAATTAGCTGGGTGTAGTGTTGGGTACCTATAATTCCAGCTACTCAGAAGCCTGAGGCAGAAGAATTGCTTGAACCTGAGAGGCAGAGGTTGCAGTGAGCTGAGATCGTACCATTGCACTCCACCCTAGGCCACAGAGTGTGACTCCATCTCAAAAAAAAAAAAAAAAAAAAAAAAAAAAAAAAAAAAAAAAAAAAAAAAAAAAAAAAAAACCAAAAAAACAAAAATGCTTTTCCAGTCCTTTAAAGGGAGAGGCGAACAAGTCTTAGACTATATTCGAAAGCTTAAAAAGAAGTAGAAAATCATGTGGCTTCCATCTTCCTTTCCAGACTTCAATCTGTGTCTTTGCACGTGGCACACTGGGTGACTGAAAGATGGCTCACAAGCCTGCATGCCTCCCACAGACGGTTAAGGAGGATCCCATGACCTACGGCAGAGACAGTGTGCAAGTTAACGTAACTGCAGCTGCAGTAACAGGCAAACCCCAATTTTAGCCACTAAATGCAAAAGAAGCCTCATTGGGTACAAAGTGTCTGTTCCTGACGTGAGCAGCTCTGCTCCATGTGGCGACTCAGGGATCCCTCCACCCTGTGGCTCCAACATCTCCTGCCCACATTACTGATTACTTGTGGGAGGACAAGAGGGGCTCCCTAGGCCTCGCCAGTTAGATGGCACTGGCATGTTATCTAACCAGAA